GCAAAATTGTTATTTGCGAAGACTTGCTGCTCTACCTTATAACTTTGTTCCACTCACACTGTCCAAAGAATGGGAAGGGACAACTAGCATTTTGCTGAATATGGAATGGTTTTGGCAATTGACCATAATATAGTTAAAAAAAACCTAAACTTAAAATATTGATAGATTCCATATTTCAGGTTTAATGCCCGAGATGGAAGACCTTGTGGTCCAAAAATTAAAAGCAACTTAACTATCAAGAGAACAAGCACTAATGGATGCTGACCACCACTTCTTTTTATAAGTAGTCAGCATACAGGAAAATGAATACAAAAACCAGGCAACTAAACTTCTGCCTGTAGAAGCAAACATATAGTGATTGCTGTGACTAGCAAGATCAATATCAGTAAGGTAAGTAGGATTTTTGGAAGCTATGTTAATTTGGAGATTATTTAAGTGAACTTCAGCATGATTACCATGTGTCAGATCCCAGGTTGAAAACAGATTAAAGGAACATGAAGGGAAAAAATAGTTCAAGATGCACTGCTTGAGTTCCTGCTGATGAGCAGAGAAGCAGGCTTCAGAGCTCCTAATGGATACTGATGACTCAGATTATATCAACAAGAGCAAGATTTCAGAGGCAGAGTAAGGAAATTAGCAGTCAAAAATACTTGAAAGCTGCATTATGCTACTGCACATTTCAAAATGCCAACTGCCTGCTATTGTATGAAGAGATAAGTATGTTCCAGGGTTAATCAGATTTTGGCCATTACCAGTACAAAGTGTATTTCTTTTCTAATTTTGTAATAGAAAAGAAGAAAACGCTTTCGCAATTCTTTTTAGTATTATTTGCATCATATGGACTACTAAGTGCAGCCAGCAACTACTTTTAAATGTTACAGTTCTTTCACTGAGGCATTATTATCCTTTGTATAATGAAAGTAATTTTCTTTATGTCTCCAGGAGATGCTTGTATTCCACAGAGCAGAAAGGCCTCTCAAGATTTAGTTTCTAAAAATAGCGTACAGTCTTTCAAGAAGATGAAGGATGAATCTTTCAAGGGGTGAGCTTCGTTATCCTGCTTATTACTTTCTTATTTGCGTTTCTGGATCTTGAGGATCCTGTAGCAGTAAGCATTGGAAGACAAGTGTGTGTGTGGGGGGGGTTGGTTTGGGTTTTTTTTGTTTTTATTTTTTTTTAAACAGAGTCCTCACTGAAGAATTGCCCCACTGACTTCACATAGCTGACATTCAACCTATAAAACTGAAAACTGATCTGCAGCATTATCACAAGACAATATGTGCTTGGAGATTTTTAGGAATACACTGAATTTCTTTAAACGTCTTCCTGCAGGCAAAATATCACGCTATTAATGAGGAAGAGGACTATTCGTGTGGCTAATTCATAAATATGTCATTTTGACCCGATTATCAGGAGGATTTCTAACCAGGGAAGCAGTTTTCTTTTGGAAGAAGACGCCACAACCTTGTCTTTGCACCCAGACTTTGTCTCACATGTTTTGTAAATGAATCAGAAAGGTATTTTGGTTAGGGTTCCTTTACTTCATGTTGTACAAAATGAAGCAAATACTGAAAGAGAAGATCTATTTAGAAGGTAAAATATATCATGATGGTTGCCCACCTATACGTTTTTATCCACTTCTCAATCTCAAAAATATTTTCTCCAATTCTCTAAGATTTCATTAGCAAATTATTATGTTGTGGACATCTTTCTGGAAAAAAGGAAAACCTTCAGTCTGCAATGCAATGTTTATTATACTTTTTTCTTTGATGTATGATATTTATGAAATGCTACGTACAAAAGAGTTCCCTTTTTATGACAGCCTCTCTGCAAGAAAACTGAAGATTACATGGGAAATATCTAGTGAGAATCTGGCACAGACGACTGCAGACAGCATGCTATTAAATAGTTACTCTGCTTTAACTACTTCTTTTTTGAGAGAGAGACAGCAAGCGAGCTTTAAAGCTTTAATCTCATACACAAGCTCGTCAGAGCCCAAATCTATCTGTAATACTCTCCAAATCAGAATGAACTCAGAAGGATGACGTTCAATCTTTAAATCCTTCTCTGCAGAGCCTTTTTTAACTCTCAGGTTCATAAAATGGATCACTGCTATGGCTCCAGAGCTTTCTAACATGTATCCTTTTACGTTTGACACAATCACATGTTACAACTCAGTTGCATTTGGAACTAAGAGTTTTCCTTGCATTATTTCCTGTATAGTGTGATAGAAACAACTCAGTGTGACAGAACTATACCACTGTCACTGGTGGAAAACCAATTATCTCCTCTCCTGGCCACTGCTACGCTTTTCACCTCCTCCAGTCACTTTAATTCTAATATTCTGGACACTTCTGAACAATTTTTTTATCTTCTTATTTTGTTTACTTCTCCATAGAGTGATGTATTAAATGTGTTGCATAAATAATGTCAAATAAGACATTTTTCATATGTAAAACAATGTAAAAAGGATATTAAATCTTTGATAAAATGATTATTGTCAATCATAATTCAACAGCTTTCCAAAAACTCCTGTAATGTGCCAGGCCATTTCTGTTTTATTTTCATAAATCAATCCAGCTAAGGTGGATTATTACTGACATCTCTGCTCAACTATAGGTAAATATGATCAAAAGATACAAACATTTCGATGATCTGAATCAGAAATCGCATAATAAACCAGAGTTGTTTCTTAGATTTCCAACTGCATGTAGTTTATTACAGTAACTGGTCACAAACTAGCATAATTTTTACCAATGGGAACAGATTTCTGTTAATGATCTAAGGATATACATGTATCTCCAAATGAAACTGCAGGCTACATTCACTCCCTACAGCAAGAAAATCTTCATTAAGACATTATTTGATACATGTTCATGTAAATTTAGCAGAATAACATTTTGTAAACATTCTGGTATGAAAATAAAGCATTACAGTCAGGAAATTCTGCTAGTTTTACATGATTCTGGAAATCTTCATATTCCTCATTTTGGCATTAATTTTCTGCTTTAAGTTTTCCAGGAAAAAATGTACTCTGGAATAAATTTACAGTCTGATGAAGGTGCATACCAAACTGACATTGAACCTGCACTGTCCTCCAGTGCTATGAATGATTTACTCTGCCAGTTCACATCCAGTTTTAAATAAAAATATCTGTCGTCTTTGCTGATGAACTGATACCAGATTTAAAAGCTCTGGAGGATTTGTTTCCTCAAGGACATTTCCTGACTTCAAAATTCACATTTAAAAATCCTTAACAATAAAGCTTTGATTTTTTAAAGATTTGGAGAAATCTCATTCTGATGCATCCTTTGCATCTTGGAAGAAGGGTCTATATCTGTGTGTTTTAAGACACTGAGTTATTAAAGCTTATAGTCAAAAATCCTGTTGACTTAAGACTGCATTCACTGCTTTTATTTAAAGCCCATCAAGGTAAATGAAAATATTCCCACCAGTGAGTTTCAATGAGTTTCAGGTGATGTCTTTTGAGACAAGGAAACCCAAGTCTCTAGAATCCCATGTGCATGTAAGCATGTGATGCTTACTTCTGACTTCTTCCTCCTAATGTTTAGAACTACAGAAAGTCCTCAGTATTTTATTTTTGGAAGAGTGATGAATGTTATTAACAGAACCAAAATATTTTTTTAATATTACCCTTTAATTTTTCCTTTCATGAGGTCTTTGTTAGATAAAGGGCTGTTGATGAACCCAAAAGTAAAGACACTCTGCAAAAGGCAAAGAAAACAGAAGAACAAAAGTAAAAAGAAAAATTTAATCCACCAAGATCTCTCTAAATGATCTACTCTGTGGTAGCAGATCACTGAAGTCTCTAGTACCACCCATTGGCTTTACTGCACTCTGTAACAGGTGACTAATTTCAGCTTGCACAGAACTTACCACCTCTGCCCAGTCAACCCTTCTAGAATGGGATGAAATGTATTGTGTATCTCTGTATTACGAGGTAGTTTCAGAACCACCTTATTCTTATTAAAAGCTAGTAACAGAGGTACCAATCTCCTCTCTTTAGCTTAATATAAATGGAAGAAATTTTCAATGAACAATTAAAAAAACAACACACATGCTGTCAGAAATAACATAAGGAAATACTTGATGCATTTTCCTGCAGGAATATTTACGATCCAAAAATATTCTGTGACTTCATTATAATTCAAAACACTGTTACAAAGATTTATTTAATTTACTTTTTTGTTCTTTGTTTACTCTATATGTTTTCTGTAAAAGTCTCATTATTATTTATTCCACAACCTTCAGTAAATTAGAAAAATATACCAAATTTACTTATTATTCCATCCATTTGACACTGGTAAAATGCATGCAATAAACTATCTGGGGATATCTGTTTAAAGTTAAGGAGGAAATGCACTTACTATTTTAAGGACATTAATAGGGAAAATCACTTCTAACTCTAGACAGATACTAGTTATTCCTCATTCTGCATTCTCTATCAGTCCTAGGAAGTACTGATTAAATCTTAAGCAGCCAGCATTAAGGCAGCACTGTAATCTTGGAATGAATTTAAAAAAATAATACAGTGAACAAGCTCTCCTGGCTGCAGCACACAACAGAAAAGTGGCCAAATCACTGCATGAAAATAGACCAATTGTAGGAGAAGGTTCTGACTGTGGGTAGAGTAAGTTTAGGTTATGGTAAGGGTTAGAAAAACAAAGGGGATAGCCCTTAGCAGCAGCCCTTTCCCTGCATTTGTAGGTCTTCCACCATCCTTCCTGAAAGCCACTGGACTCTGGACCCCTCACCTATACCACAACCCAATCCAAAGAGATTTCCTGCTCAGGATCCTTCTTCCACATTTGGGGAAAAAAAAAAAAAAAAAAAAAAAAGTGACTACTGAAACATGCTACCCTCAATCAGCAAATAAGATGCTACAGCCAGAACATCTGATGGAAGAAAAGAAGGAAAGGAAGTATTTGAGCATGTGTATACATGCAGATATGCACACAAAGACACATAAACTCACTCACTATCTACTTCCAAAATGGCACGGACAGACTTGGCAAGGTCTCTGGCTTCTGCTGCTAGAGCTGTCGTGGCAGGAGGTCCAATCTTTCCCAACCGTGCTAGAAGTGCTTTAGTAGATAATGTTGTTCTTCTGTCACTAAGAGAACAAAAAATATTAAGTGTTTAGGTGTAAGATTTTAAAATAAATGGTTACTTTTAATAAAGTAAATTTTTTGTTTCTAGATTGGTTTTGGTCTCATTGTGTGAACAAAAAAGATTCATACTACCAAACTGATGAGTTTGCCTCAGAAGCAGCTTTGTCTGTACGATAAAGGTATTAGGAAAGTTCAATTCAAACAACGTTCACGTCTCTAAATCTAGCATCAAAAACTCAGTGGGTGTCAGGAAATTAACTCACTGAGAAATAATTTTCATAGTAGCATTTAAGAAGGGATACTGCTTTAAGGGGCCCAATTCTTATCTTCTACACCGATAGTGAGTCAGTTTGTCACTTTAGTTTTGTGTTTTATGCTTCAACCCATTTACTAAAATAAAATCTATCAACTTTATAAAACATGCAAAATCACTCTTGTGCAGTGCAAATGGGATCTGCATTTAATTGATTAGGATTAGCATATGAGATCACAGACATCTACAGTATACTAGGCGATTTGATCCTGCAGATTGTTTTGAAATAGGGTTCCAGCTAACTCCACTTAAAGAGATTTGATTTCCTCGAGAGCTTTACTGAAAAAGGTGGCAACATAGAGACCAAACAGGTTTACTGTTACATAAATATTAATTGAACGCTATCTGGGATGTATTAGGCACAATCATGCTGGTATTCTGAAGGACCAAAGGCTGCTCTAAATCTTGTTGAATATTCCTAGGTACCTTTTTAAACAAGAAAAGTAGTAAAACTTAAATGGGTATACATATTGTCAATTTATTTATATGCTACAGGATTAATGATGATGCAAAATCACTTGGGCAAATCTAAAAAATAATAATAATAAAAAATTATAACCCACTGTTAAGGTTCTTTGCAATTTTAACTAATCCTTAGCACATTATAATTACTTTATGGAAACATCCAGACTACCATAGCTATGTAATTGCTAACTGTTTTAATTTAATTCTGAAGTTTTTAATGAAGCTGTATCCTGAAAGCCCAATTTATAATTCATGTCATTCCCACTTCTTCAATAAAATGACAGTCAGAAACATACACTTAAAAATACAGGGAAAACAGCTACAACAGTTTTTGGAGACTTTGAAACAATAGTAGAGATTTTCAATATTAACATTTACATTTCGCTATTAAAAACTATGCCATTTCATTACCTTAAAATTGTTGAGGAAGTAGAGTTATCTGAAAGGATTTCATGCACAACCTGTTGGCCATAGTCAAGAAGTTAAGTTTATAAATCAACACAGTAAAAAAGTTAATACCTTTTAATTCAATGTCCTATTTGGGTGTGGGGGACGTGGTTTGTAATTAAAGAGTCTAGTCTCTCCCAGCTAGAAGCGTGAAGGTGAAAACCAAAATATTATAACCCCTTTAAATGAAATAAATATCATAACATAACTTTTTTTTCATAACATTTCAAAATATTTTCAAATATGTTTTCTGCCTTTTTTTCTCTGGGGAATTTCACAGAAATTGATATGAGTTTGTGAAAAATTAGGTGAAAAAAATTATCTGATCAGTTTCATTTGTTTAGTGTATAGCAAAACATAAAGATTAAGTAAATTCCTACATGGATCTGTACACTTATACACCATCTTTACTTCTAGCAATGAAAGGATCTCTGCAAACTAGTTTATAGTCAGTTTATTAAGTTTATTCCTCAGAAACATCAACAGAAAACTTTTCCAAATAACATGTTGCTAGAAATGAAAGGCAAAGTTACCTCCACAAATTGTAGCAATTTTTCGGTAGCCACCTCAAAGGTCTTCCTAGCTGATTCTGATTTCCGCAGCTGGCAGTCAAGCACTGTAACCCTCTTTCTCAAGTCTTGGATGTTATCCTGGAAAAGACATTTTAAGGTTTTTATTCTAACCATTTTCTCCTATGGCTCACATAGATACACTGTGTGAATTGAAATGGATGTCTGATATGTTTAACACATACTCTTTTCTACACTTCTGAAACACACAGCTGCTGCTGAGGCAGGTATGCCTGATCTGCTAGTAAATCAGCTCCCAAACCGCAACAGAATTTGGCAAATGAAATAAAGGTAAATTGAAATTGGCAGCTAACAACAGTGATAGGGGTGAAACTTTAGACAATTTGAGCTGATTCATGAATGGATCAAAAATACCAACCTGATGGCAATGGGATCTGTCTGCAGGGTGGCATAAATAACCAGGATGTGATGAACTCACTCCATTAGTCTGGACATCCTTTGGCCAACAGACTAATTATGGTATATCTTGGAGAAAACTACCCCCTAGGACTTATCCACATGCACTTGTATAACCTATTGATCAGTGTTATGCATCCCTTCTGTACATCAGCTACAGAAAACATGAGCCCCATTAGATCAAGTTCTGGAAGCTCAAGGTTTCAGGTCCCTGGCACCATGAGTAAAGTCTTCAAATGTATATGGGCATGTTTGTTCTGCTGAACAGACAATCTAAACCAAAATACTCTCCAAAATTAAGAAAATATCACTATCATTAAAAATAAACTTCTACATCACTGTAGGTGATCTTTTCTGAAAGCCTACTACCTACCATAATACTTAAATTAAAAGCCACCAAAACCCACTTATTATGTTTACTTGAAGCAAATGAGTACACACATTTGTTTGTACACAGTGTAGAAAGCAGCAGAATCATGGTAACTCTAAATGCAAACAATCCGTTGATTAAAACACCTTTCTTTATTAATCTCACTCTCAATCATCAGAGAAAGAGCGGTAAGCCCTCAGAGGGACCTCAGCCTTTTATACTAAAAAGAGTATACTAGAGAGTTGGTACTTACTGGATACTGCTTATTTTGAATAAGAAATACAGAAAGTCAAATCTCAACTCAGATTTTTTGAGTGCTCACTCAGAATTTCAGGAATTCAAGCTAGCATCTCAGAAACAACTCTCTAAGAAAGCAAACCACATGCTCTGAACATCTTAAAATTTTGCAACATATTCAAGTCCTAGAAAACAAACAGTGCTTCAAAGATCCCTCACATAAAAGATGGAGCATCTCACCCAGATGCTCAGAAAGAAGATTATCTAGGGTGTGATTCATCTCATCACACACAGTCACAATCAGATGAGAGGAATTCCTCCCTGGGAGCTACACATAGTTGCTATGTTGCTTCTTTGCAGGCTTAGATACCATAGGTTTTACCTTTTAATACCTTTTAATATTGAATTAATTCTTATGATGAAATAAGGCAACATTTCAGTAGGTTTTCTTCACAAATTCATATGCATTTCTATTTTTCATGAGAAAAGTTAAACGCATAAATGTCAATCTGCTTGCACTTGTACAAAACTGCATGTAGAAAATGGAACTGCAATTATGGGGAAAAATGTAAAAGTGCCTCAAATATTTTGTTCCTCAGTACGTTTTGAAATGCTTCACTAGAGATGAAGTGGTTTTAAAATATGAGACTCAATTAAAAAAAAACAAACAAACAACTTTTTTGGCAGGATACTGTTAGTAGCATTTAAATAATTATCTTGATTAAATCTAAATTTACTTTATATCGTTATTATTTGCCTAACAGAAACAAATATGATGACCATTTTTACACAAATACAAAAGGATACAAAAACATGTATAGTCTTAAAAGCCAATATATCTGCAGTCTAGAAACTATTCCACGCTTTAATGCTTCACATGTGCCATTTTGACCCACGACCCACATATGCTTCTAGCTCCTATTTTTCCAGCCCAAAGATACCTGGATAAAGGAAGACTCATACACTTCACATTACCCTCTTCACTACGCATCATCCCAGTTATTGAATAATACAAGACAAACAGTGACCTACTTTAGAAAAGCAGATGAAAAGAAAATGAAAACAAGATACATGACAACAGCAAGGAAACCATGGTAACTACAACAGGCAACTGCTTTGCTTACTTTATTTTGGCCAGAATGATCAGTGAGCTGAGCCTTCAGCTCTACAATTTCAGCTTCTAATAGGCGAACTACTTCTTCATAGTCCATCTCCATTCCACGAGCCTGCCTTTGTGCAGCTTCTGCAAGATGAATCCTACTTCGCAGGGCTCTTGTCTCTTCTACAGCTGCCTTGGCTTCCTAAAGATGATAGAATTAAATTGAAAAGTTACAACTCCAACTAACAAAGAAGTACAAATGTACCGCAGAAGCACTGCAGTTAGCATTAGGGCTGCCTTTTAGTACACGGTTAGATGGTTCAGTTGCTAATTTTTAAGTGTATGATGTTCAAACAAAGGACGGATATTTTCAGACAGAGACAATTTTCCCAATAAATGAAATAATGAATTCTATGATTACTGTAAGTCTAAGTGAATGAAAGGTTTTATAGAAATCCACCTGGTGCTGTTAATCTGCCCCATCACTTCCATACTAAAAAAGTACTTTAATGAGATGTTATTTCATTTTACTATTATTGCCTGAATTCACACTCAATTCAGAGTTTGCACACCATGTAGATGGACTTCTAATGCAAGTATTCAGCTGACGTTCTCAAAATAAGTGCTGTTTTTTATTTTTCTGTCTATTTCCTACTCTTACATTGTTATCTTGTGTTATAATTGAAGAGTATTATATAAAATTTATATATAATGTATGGAAAACAGGAAATTAGAAACTGTTATATTTTTATTCAGCTAAAGTAATCCCCAAATGTTGTAAAGTCTGATTTAGAGAAGGATATTGCTCAGTTCATTTTACTACTGCGTATTAATTCAAGTTAACTTTGATTTGTGAATTTAAAAAGTCAAACTAAAGGTCTGGACAAAAGATGACTTTACAGTAGGAACAAAACAAACAAACTGTCATCAAAAACATGTAGGCATACAGGCCCACTGGCACCAAAAGCAGTAAATCATCGTTCCCCTCACCTTTTTATTAATCTGTGGAAAAATTCACTTTATATGAATTTTATAAATCATTAAATTATAAGCTTTAAATATACAAATTCTCAGAGCTAGAAACTCTTTGTACAAATTCCTCAGCTGAGGATATTTAGGTGAATATCCTATTCCTAGTTTACCTAGTATATCTTATAACAACTATTTCCTGTTTAGGGATGGGACTAGAGGTGAAACAGGCAGGGGCAGAGAAGAAACAGACAATAAGTAGGAAATAACCTCCTAGAAACTAGACATGAAATCACTGTTTCTGAAAAATCTAAATGACCCAATCTTCCCTCTTTTTGTGGAACAAATGTCATATAATATTTAACAGGTGTCATATAAATGTCTAGAGAGATCAGTTAAGCTTACAAAGGCACACTTAATTATATTATTTCCTAACTTAGATTTATTTGTCCTGTGCAATCAATATTCTTCAAGTCAGGTTTTCCTATACTATCATAATGTTTTTTCTGTAAAATGATCTACCAATCTCAGTTTCAGATGACTTTTAACCTGTACACTGCTAGTCTTTCTAAACTGTATTTATTTCAGGCCATAAGTAAACTAATATCAGTGTCATATATAGGACATCATCTTCCTCATATTTACAATGGTTTTGCAATATAATACCAATCTGGATGATTGCCAGGGACATTCTGGTCTCTTAGAAAATAAAGGATCAGAAGAAGTAATCACACATGTAGCAAACAGCAACATCATTAGTGAATACAGAGTACATTGGTGCTATACAGTTTAGAGGTTTCTATTACAGGAACAAAAGTAGTAAGAGATACATTTAAATAACCTTTAATTTACAGTATAAAGTGTTTGTGTTTGTTTTGGAAGCACAAAGCATTGGATCTACATAATGATCATCTCCACCTGGAAACACAGACTATTCCAAAGCTCATTGCTGCATGTCCTGTTATTCAGGCAGTGCATTTTACAGTTGTCTGCACAGCACTAAAGCGGTGCAAGGGGCCGTTATTGAAAGAACTCACTGAAAGACCACCAGAACAATCCACCCCTCCTGCAAGCTGCTCAGAGCAGTTCTTTTTCCTAGAAACAATTCAGAGAACACAGGGGTGGAGCTTCTAAGAAGTTAGGACTCCACAGCAGTAGAGGTAAAACGTGCTGCCTCTGTAGATGGCATTTTCTTGCCTGTGTAAGAAACAGTGTGACACACCAGCAAGTAAAGCTGGGCCCTACTGATACAAAGGATGATGTGTCAGTCCTCAGTAGCAAAGGTATCCTTCAGTAATAGGCTGGAGGTAGAAAAGAAGTCTCGGAGACAAAACTGAAAAGATGCTCTGGTATTAAGTTTGACTAATATAAATGAACATATATAAATATAAACATATATATATATAAAAAAAAATATAAACATATATAAATGAACTAATATAAATGATCCGAGGGCTGGAGCACCTCTCCTATGAAGACAGGCTGAAAGAGTTGGGGCTGTTCAGCCTGGAGAAGAGAAGGCTCGGGGGAGATCTTATAGCGGCCTTCCAATACCTGAAGGGGCTACAAGAAAGCTGGGGAAGGACTTTTCATAAAGACAACTAATGACAAAACAAGGGGAAATGGGTTTAAACTGAAAGAGGGGAGGTTTAGATTAGACATTAGGAAGAAGTTTTTCACTGTGAGCGTGGTCAGACACTGGAACAGGTTGCCCAGAGAAGCTGTGGCTGCTCCTCCCTGGATTTGTGGCCAGGTTGGATGAGGCTTTGAGCAACCTGGTCTAGTGGAAGGTGTCCCTGCTGCTGGCAGGGGGTTGGGACTGGATGATCTTTGAGGTCCCTTCCAATCCAAACCATTCTATGATTCTAACACAGAAGCCTTGACAAATGGTGGCATCTTAAAAATGTACACTAAGGAATTATTGAAATAAACTGACATCAGAAAAGACATGGGAAAATTGCTATAATGAAAAGGGAGGTCTTCATTCTGAAACAAGACCTCCCTGAGATAAAGGTTTAATCCCTTATAATCCAGAATTGCCTTTATTCCTCCATTGTTTTTTCAGAAAGCCAATTGTTGAATATTAATTTCTCTGTAATAGCAGACTAAGTATGACCAGATTTCAACAGAGAAAGACCTAAAGGAATAATTAATGAACAATGGATTCTTACATTACAATGAAACGATTATCTACACTACAACTGAATTAGCAAAGTTTTCTGACACACCAGAGCCGTTTGCTAGAGCAGGGAGGCACAAAGGGAAACCACACCATCACGTTTCCCAGCTCTACAGTTACTGAAGCTGGCGCTGCAGTGACTTGGTGTGTTCTCTTCCTTATGCAGGTAAGGGGCCCCCACCAGGGAGGAACAGATGGATTACAGCATGTTTCAGCAACAATTTCTCTTGTTCCTTCATCTGACTGCTTGAATGAAGGAAGATGCAACAGAAACAGAATTTCATCTATATAAATGCCTGATGGGACCATTTGTCCTAATCTGGTATGAAGCCACTACAATAAATAAGAAACTGCAGGTCGGAGGAGAGAAACTGAATCCTTACAGAATGAATTTCAAGGCACAGGTTTCTTTCAAAGCCAGGTTCTAGTTCTTCCTCAGATAAATTCAAGTGTCAGGAGAAGGTTTTATCCGGGTAATATTCCAGTCACTACAAACACTGCAATAAAGGTATTCCCTTAAACTACATGAAAAATCATAGTTACAATTCAATTATATTTATTCATTAGTTTCACAAAAAATATATGCTGAAAACATCCTTAAAAAGAACACTGAGTATCTTTATATTAAAATAAAAAGCTAATGAAATAAAAATAAACTCAATACTTCTTTCAGGTAGGGTGAAATACTTTATACACTGCTTCCTAAAGAGCAGCCATTCACATTCTAGTCTACAAAGCACCTCTTTTCCCCTTAGAATAGCAAATCTTAACCCTATGAAATACAAGTTTAGCAGTATGGGATTCCACAGTGTCCTATCTTTACAACCTTTCACATTTACTACGTTTAGTTGAGGTGCTCCAGCTGACGGTAACTGCATAAAAAAATTGTGTTAAGGAAGAGATCATTCAGGTTGGTATGACCCAGCACTTCCAGGCAGCACAGAATACAGTCAGATTTATCCAGGGAAGTAAGACACCATTACAGATTTCATGTTCCTGGTGTTGACAAGACTTCAGTTACTCAAAAGTGCCCCTCTATGTTTTATGCCAATTTCAGCTTCCATATGACTTCAAGGAAGACCTAAAGATAGTGCTGTATCACAATCTCAAAGTAAATATATTCATATATTTATATATTTTAATTGCCATAGACCACTATTAGAAAATAATTACTACCTCATTTCAAATTCAGCAATATTTCTAATCTTAAGAGTTTGTTTATCCTGGTAGCTACTGATTCAAGCACCATTTAATGAATTAGTACTAACAGAACATGTCCATTAACCAGAATATTTGTATGCCTGTCCTAATTAAGCTGTAATCTCTGCAATTCACAACTAGTAGACAATAGAAATATCACAAGAGATACTCCTGTACATGACTGGTATTATCATTTAAACCCTGGGTTTTTTAGGAAAGCAGTGATTTAAAAAAAAACAAAACAAAAACCAACCCATGTTTAAATTGTACTGAATTCATAAGACCTTAAGCACATACTTAAGTTTGTTTGTTTGTTCACTTTTAATCAGGCCTCATAGGACTCAATAATGTATCCATTAATGCATTTCACTAACTTCAGCTCAAAAAAAACCATCATAAGTTAAATAGCAACTTTTAGTAAAGTAGCCTATTTTTTTAAACTTCTGATCTACAGAAATATATATAAAACACTTGAAAATGTACTGAAGGTAAACAGAACTAAAACTTCCATTAAAAGCCTGCTTGTATCTCCTAAATTAGGTCACACAGTGCTGTAATTTCATATAATTTAATATTTCTCTTTCATTTCACGATATGGAACATTTTCAACAGCAGTTACTTAAAACGCTTACTAGAAAATCAGAGTGTTTATCCCCTGAAGGTTTGTACTGCAAAGCTGACCTTCACCTTCACACGACAGTACCGGACAGAAAAATAAAATTACGAGGACCTCACGTGGTAGAAAATGGGTATTGTTGCCACTTAAATCCATCTTAAACCATCCCAGGTCCACCTTCCCAGTAAGGTATGTGAAATGAAATACTCCATGCTGAGGATGTGATGTCCAGACAGTTTGCATTCTGGGGTTTGTACTTTGCACTAGCTTTAGTCTAGAGTGATAGACTGAACATCTCCTCTAGTCTAGAGCCACAGACTGAACACCCATAAGCAAATGTTGACATGAGCTGGAAGCGTGTTCCAGTAGAGCACCTAAACTTTATCCAAAAAAGAATCCAATTTACTCCCCCGCTCTCCCACTGTGTACAGACAGCAACACCACAATATTAATGGAAAAAGCTTTCAAGCACGTCTGTTATATTCAAGGACTAAAAGGTGCTGAACAAATCTACATATGAGAGCAAAAATGTAAAACTGATCTTAATACAGTATATGGAAAGATTTTTAAAACTTATCTTGCATTTTTACCTACAATATCTGACAGAACAGATAGCCATGAGAAATCTACAAGGAATACATGTAGCAGTACAGGAGAGAAGAAAGGTAGCCAGCTCATAAGAATAAAAAGAGCAAACAGGGTTCAGTAGAAGTAGGAAAGTTACTTGGTTTTTAATCCAGGCTATAAATGACATGACAGAACTAGAAAGACTAAATTTCATAAGAAACTCTGATTTCTTCTCTCATAGTTATAGATAGATATGGAGACAGAAACAAGACAGTTCTCACAAAACACTACCAATTTTTTCCTGGTAAATACTAGGCAGAATTGTCAGTTGTGTATTTTTTCATGTTTAAAACTCTGGTTGACTTACAAAGTAGCTAAAATTAGGACTGTAGATTAGGCTCACTGTTGCTTAAGAACAGGCAAATCACTTCAAGAACACTTAAGACCAGAAAGGTGCTACTACATTATTATCCAACTTATCTGATTCAATTTATCTTAAGGTTCCCACCTCAATTCAACAACAGAGAAGTATTACTGCTCGAAAAACTTAAGAATCAATATTCTCCAATTCTAATCAAAAGTTTTGTACTAACAAAAGACCAACTTTGTGTTGAAATCAGTGTGAAAGTATAGCCTATGTAAGCATCAAGAGATAGAAGCACACTATTCTCTCCTCCACAAAAAAAATTTAAAAAAAAGAATTACTATATTTCTAAGGAACTACAACATACTTGCTTGACTATTTGTAGCTCCTCTGTCAACTGTTTCTGTACATTCACAGATTCAGACAATTTTTCCTGTTAAAAAAAGGAAGAAACAATTAATAATTAGGTCTGAAAGAGAAAGGGTTTTTTTATTCCTAAAACCCAATTAGCTCTTTCAAAATTACAAGCAGTAATGCTTAACTTCTATCAATGCACTTACTTCCCTGTGTACAAGTACTATGTTTCTAGGCCACAACGTATGTCTGTTAATAATGTTGTATAATCAGAAACACATTTATTTAAAAAGTTCTAGTGGAAATAATAAATAATCAACAGCTTCTGTAAAACCTGAGACAAAAACAAGTTTTAATTTCTAAAGGCTAGTTTTTCAGAGAGTTCATTGATAAGTTTCTTAAGCATCTGAGCATTATTTACTGGTCATTTCTATGATACAAGTAAAATACACATTTTAAGTGTCTTAATATCTAGCCACCTAGAAAATGACCAGATTAAAGACATTTTCGTCCTTAACATATTGCTGTAAAACCTGATATTCTTGTCAAGTTCTTTCCACATTGTATGTTTGACCATTCTTTCACTCATACCAGAAGCCTGTAGGTACACCACTTTCAGAAGGTTAAAAGTTCTTAAAAAAAAAACCCCAAAATTGCTATAGAAGCATAAAGATTCTCATACTGAGTCAGACCAAAGGTATTTCTCACTCATTATGGAGTGAGAAACTGGAGATTGTTAAGGGAAGAGTATAAGAAATGAGGCAATTATAGATTGATCATTGCCAGTTTTTGACATCAGCAATTTAGTGGACTCATGACTGAGTATTCACTACTTCAACGTTCAATGTAAACTGGGTTCTTTCATTTCAGTACAAAGTTTTCAGAAGAAGAATCTTTGTGCACAGAACAAAACAGAACCCAATGCTTTTGTAATCTATAGCAAGAAATAATTTTTTTTTTGGATCAGCAGGCAATTTGTAGAATCCTGCGATCAATTTTCCAGTCCTGTCCAAGAACAAGAGTTAGATTATGTTGAATACATACACAACCAGAATTTTTTTATCTTTAAGGCTGTCAAAAAAAGAAATTCAGGAACATAGGACTGTGGTTGTAACCCAGGGTATTAAGAAACAATAAATATATTTGTTGCTTTAAGTCTTATGTATTTTGTAATTTGTGAAAATATGGATTGATTTGGAAAACACTAATTTACCGTGCAGTTCTGACTTCTTTCAAAAGTATTGCATATGATCAGACACTGCGGTTACCAGGATCACACATTTCTAAATAAAATTGCTATGCAAATCAGTCACTTCTCCAAATTCACTTTTGTGAAATGTCTGCTTAATCTCATTTCTCTGTGAATCAGATTAAAAAAAGTATTAGTATTCAGTATAACAAATAAAATTCACTGTGTCCAGAAATATATTGTAAGCATAAAATCTTCAAACATAATTAGGATTGTCTGCTCTGCCTTTCTATTTATTCAACAAAAATTGCACATAAATTTAAAAAGAAAATCAGTAAATTACTATATATACTCACAAAGAAATTAGTCTCTTGAAAAATTTAAAGCAAATAAAAATTAAGTATTACCTTTAATTTACTAATTTCTTTTAAAGCTTCATTTCTTTCTTTCTTAAGTCTTTCCATGTCATCCTCCAAAGAATCACAGGTTACAAACTGTGTGTATTTAAATACATAAGGTTAAAATGTATTGCTAACTGCATCTTCCATAACCTTTAACATCTTATCTTAAATGGTCTTGTTAATAAAATGAGAGGCTAATCTTAATTCTAAAATAATTTAAAGCTATTAAAATATTAAAAATGTTTAAGAAAATTCTGAACAACTCATCTTCAAATGGAAAAATAAAAATAATTAATAAAAATATTTTTAAAGTATCAAGAATACAACACTAATAGCCCTCGTTTTCTTCGATATTTTAAATAATATTTTATTTTAGTATTCCTATGCTGCAAATGTTCTTTCTTAAAGTCACCTCTAAAATAAAGAGATTTTCACTGTAGCAGTAGTTCAAATCACTGGGCCTAATAATTGTTTATCATTCATACAGGTAGTAGCAATACATATTCCATTAAGAAACCTCAGGAAATCACTGTTGTTCATACTTATAACAAATCACAACATAATTACAAGAATTGCTTTCTGCAAAGTAGGTCACCTTAAAAAGCTTCACAGAAACTAGGTTATCTCAAAGAACATCATGATATGGAGCTGTTCTAAACATCTGCCCAAGATTTGGAGTAATCTTACATATAATAAGCTCTCCAATAATCTCCTCCCAACAGTTACACGCTGTACAGGCACATATTTTACCTGTGAATCCAGTAAGCTGGCAATTTCATTGACCCCAAATGTTACAAATTTTTCACCATCATCTGTTGCATTCAATTGCATAGAGAACAGATTCCTTGATACTTCAACGAAATCTAAAAAACAGTTTAGATTTTCTTGCTGTAGTCCACAAGTTCAGTTTAGTAGCAGTATCACCAGATGTAGCACAACTACTAATGTCACAATATATGGCTACCCTTTTATAAATGCAGCATCTGCCTTTCATAAGCTTTTTAAAGGAAAATATGAAAATCAGACACATCTCTCTGAAGAGAACCATTTGGTAAAGCCTGTAAGAATAAGAATAAAAATGTTCAAAAAGGGTCTCAGGATGAAATAGCCCCGAATCAAGTTGTGAAAGAGAAAAGAAAACAAAAGCTGGTGTGAAGTTCTCCTTCAAAGTGCCTGGTTAGAGATGTCCTACATTTGGCAGACCCCTGTGAAACATTAAAAGAAATCTGCCCACTTGTTAAACACCTGCCCTTCCCAATGAATTGGTGTTATTAGAGGAGATGGTGTCTATGCAGGAAAAAGCAAAAATGATGTGCTAGCTCACAGCTCATAGTTTCCTTTGCAGGTCCTTTAAGCCCCTGATAGAGATCTGGTAAAATTCATGTTGACCAAGTGAAAGTTTTAGATACAAACACTACAGCATTCTCAATCAACATGGCTGGGATTATCCATTCATTTTGAATGTACAAAAAAAAAATTCTTCTACAATATGACAGAAAAGTGGAAATATAAAGGTCTGTTTGTTTACATCACATAAAATCTGATGGAAGTTTCAGTATCTTTCTTGGTAAGGTACTTGAAAATACAGTATCTTTTGGATGATCAAGTACAAGAAGTTATTTTTCATATACTAGTGTTTGACACTTTTTCATAAACTTTAGGAAAAACGTGAAGTCTCCATCAGTTTTAGCATCAGAACTATCACGTCTCACAGTTTATAACAAATATTCTTAAATTGTTAGTACCACCTTCCAAAATTGTTATACCCAACAAAAGCAACTCATTCCCATCAGAATTAGATTTAGCTAGAAGAATAATCATGATGCTTTCCATGCAAACCTCCTTCTATGTGCAATAGTTGAAATGTTCTCACTTCTCACAAACTTAACAAGTTAAATAATCCATCAGTTTAGTTGCTTCAGGAAGTCTCTTTAACCATCAGTACTGTCCCAAGTAATTTTTGGAACAATTACAGTATCCTACTGTTGAGGAAAAAACTTAGGAATTTGTGAGCATAAAATCAAAACCTTCTTAAGACTGCTCTTAATTAGATAAATTTGTGATATGCTTTCCAGTTTCAGAAATCCAATTTTATTTTTATACAGTAGAATAAGGTTCTTGCCTCAAGGTATCATTTTATTTGCAGCAGCAACCCAATACTGACATAAAATACATTAATGGTTATTACCTATTATTTCTATATTTTGCCATTTCATTATTTTCCATGGTAATTAACAAATTATTACCTCCAAAAGATACTGTTCCTTTAGAATCTTTCTGAAGTTGCTGCCTTAGGGCTTGCTGCTGTTCATCTGTGGGCTGAATCCCAAGATAATTCAATGCCTGGAAGGAGAAAACTTATTTTGCAGGAATAAAAAAAAAAAAAAAAAAAAGGACTAGGGATAATGACTGCAGGGACATGGGGGAGTAATTAAAGAGCTATACTTCAAAGAGCCTTTGTATGAGTACTCTCTCATTGACAACACTTTTATGCCAGAGACACTCTGTGACTTTTCCTTCTAATTGAGAGATGTTCAGATATTATTTAACCTTGAATACAGATGAGTGTAATAAGCAAAACCCTTTGTCCTTAATAAATGCCTCAAAAATCCTGAGGGATGTTCAGATTCCCAGAAGAGTTAATCAGTAATTAGATTAACAAAAACAGTAATTTGCACAATATATACAATGAAATATTGGCCTGCAACCTGAAAGAACTATCCAAATAGAAAATTTGGTGTATAATTTATACCTTAAAGGTTGTCATGCTTGAAATACACTCCAGATGTTTTACATGTATCATGAAGGAGAAAGGAAAACTCAAGAGATTTGAAGTATTTACCCTCTCCAGCTTTTCTAGTTTGAGACGAAAAGTAGAGTCTCTTCTTTGCAGCTCAAGATCATCATTCTGGCTGGGGGCAATAACTAAGAAGGAAAAAAAAAAAAATGATAGAGTTGTAACTATTGCTTTGGAAATTCTGTTCTGAAGTTCTGTTCATCAAATGGATGCCAGCTAAATACCTACTTGCCACAAATAATGTTAATATTTAGATTGACTTCTTTTTTGAAGAACATAATTGTAATACACAAAAATTCTGAGTATCAATCACAAACTATTTTTTCACATCAAAAAGTGACAAGTCGCAAATTAGTAGAAAGAACCCAGGAATAACTTAGAGCGATTCATCAAGCATATGGCTTATACTTATGGTATTTTCTCTTCTGTCAGATACATAGTTACTCTGGAAACAGAAGGGGAAACACACTTGTGCATTCTGAAAAAGACCTTCAAGACACACCCTCAGCATAATCAACAGTTCCCAAAAGCCTATCCAGTGACCTAGCAAACGCTGTGGAAATGGAGCGAGAATGACCTGTTGCCAACTAAGGTCCGTGTGGAGGTAGCGCAGACTGAATTCTAGCAGGCTCCTCAGTATGTTTCCCTGGGGAGGAACTCTTTTCCAATAACTTCTACCCATTAAGCCATCATCCCCTCCTCTCCAGTCCTCATAGTCAGAAATACAACAAGTCTGCATAATTTTAGTTGGTTGCATTAATAACTTATGGTGCATCTATTTTATTTCCAACATCCACAAATGATTAAGCTGAGGAAAGGAAAAGAAGCTAGCAGTATTAAGCAGTCCATATGCAAGATTTCAGAATAATTGCTTAATTGCCTTTTTTTTTTTTTTTCTGTGTGTGCTTAGTTTTAATGGAACTTGAGAAATACAGTCATAGCTTTGTCATACCTCAGACACACCTGTGGATACAACACAAGCAGCAGCAACCTTTGGAAGCCTTTGATGACAGACAGTAGGCAAAAGGAGCAGTTAACTTTCAATTTCTTTGGATTTTAGATGTATGTAAATAGAACAAATTCATTGACTTGGGTTTTTTTTCAGAAGAAAATGGAATACTTGTGTTCATTATTCATAAGTATAATTTAGATCTTAATTCATTCTTTCATTAATGGACTAGAGAGGTACTAAAACCAAAACCAGCATTTGAAAACTAAAGGATCATGTAGTTTGAGATTCTCCCTAAAGGAACAGAAGGAAGCGGATAGAATACTGTTTTATTGGGTTTTTTTTCACAGCATATCTGTTTCCAAGCTCAAAGTAATTTACATTCTCTTTATATGCCAAAAGCATAAACCAAAACATCTTGAAAATCTCTGACACTCACACCTCTCACATGCTATATTAAATTCTGAAGACAGTAGGCTAGAACCTCAGCTGAATTGGCATACTTCCTTGCAACTCAGAATGAAAAAGCCTTGTGTATGAGTTTTTGCAAGAATTTCTCAAAATTGTGCTGTTTTTTTCTTACAGCATTAAAGAAAATAAATCTAATAGCTTCTTTAATTTTTCAAGGTTATCCTTGAAAAAGGGCAGCATGAGAAGTGGAAGCTCTGACTGAGGAATTGCAATTGTTCAGTTTAGATTTGGTTCTGACCAAATTCTACAACCTCTGTTTTTCCGTAGTGCTGTTTTCAAAATATATATTTAGAGATATGATCCAAGTGACTGTTGTCTTTATCTGAATGTCATGACTGTCAACTGTAAATATACACAAATTTATATCCATTATTAACTGAAAAACTGTCAAAGAGGTCTGTGTGTCTGTGTGTTATTTCTGTCCTTCTGATATGCTGCCCTGATTTAAAAAAAAAAAAAAAAAAAAAGTGTAAGCAGTATACATCCACAGAATTTCATCCAATCAAGAAAGCACAGTTTCTATGGCAACCTAATCTTGATCTATATGTGAGTCTTCATTATCTGGTCTCTACTAAGTCTATTATCATTACTGCTGTATAACAAACGTTGTGATCACTCATTTTTGTTTAGTTTCAGCTGTCCGTTAAAGACAATGTAAATTGTATTTGACAGAAGCTACTAAACCTTGACCTCAGTCCTTTTTTTAGTACTACAAAAATAGTGCAGTATTTCTTTTTTTAAAGACTATTCAGTCTCACTATGTACTATTTTCTGTATGCCAGTTCTTGAAGAAAAAAAGGGTGGTAGGGACTTAAATCAGCACTTACCAGAGGCAGACACATCAGTAGGACTGCTGTCTAGAGAAGTAATTGGAGACTGCTCTCCCATCTTGACTCCAGTTTCCGTCTATAAAAGAAAATCAAAAGCCATGAAATGGCATTTCTAAAGCAGATCACAAGCCAGACTAGAAATATACGTTGATGTAAAAGAGAGGAAGACGAAGGAAGACCAGGGGGAGAAATACAACTGGAAAGATCAAAACAACCCTTGGAGAAAATGGAAGGCATGGGGTCGTGGTGATGGCAAGAAGGCACGCCATTCAAAAAACTCAGATCAGGGTCTTATCAAAACCTTAGTTAGGTTTTGAATATCTTCACAGGTTAAGATAGCACAGCCTCTCTAGGCAACCTGTTTCAATGTTTATATCTCTAATAGGAAAGAAAAATGGACAAGAATTTTAAGTACAAATGTAAGAACAATTGAGAATCACCTATTTTGACTTTGTGTTTGACATGGAACATTTTATTCTTCCTCGTTCAAAGACAATATTTAGTTTTAAAAATGTGATAAATTGAAAATGTATTTTTAAAAATTGAAATCAGAGTAGTTTTAAAATCTTATTTCTTATGGTCAACATTACTTCTTTACGCTAATGGTGAACTGTATGAATTAAAACAATTGTTGCTTAGCTGAAAGAAGGGGGAAAAACCCACATTCTTCTGGGACCCTGATTTTTAAGCAAAAATCCCATCATCACGGAGGAAGTGTAACTTGCGAGACTGTGCTGTACTTACACAAATGTAGTAATCAGAGAGAACTTTATCTCTGAAATATACAACTATGTATAGCTGATTCTGAAACTTTACACCCTAGAGAAACAGTAAGGAGAATTTTGTATCTAAGAACATGGTTAATGCTTATTTTATCTGATTTGTTTTCTTACCACAAGTCAACCAATACTCTTTATTCTGCCTATCAGTGTGGTTTACACTACTGTTATACAACATGTCTTCTGGAAAAGTCTTGATATTCCAAAGAATTAATATTGTGCAGGAAAAAAAAGACCCAGTCATTTTCTTACTAGAATGGAAACTGAGCTGAAATAACCCTCTACTGAAATTCCAATAAAACTAGGAAAAACAACCATTTGCTCACTTTATTCTAAGAGGAGTAATAAGGAGGAGTAATAATACTCACAGCATTTGGAGTGAACATTGAAACAAGCTTCCCATTAGGAGATTCAAGAGGACTAAGTTGCTCTCCACATGTTATAGAAGACATTAAGAGACTGGAAGGACGTTGCAGAGTCTCTGAATAACTGGGAATATTTTTTTGTCTAATAAAAGCTATCTCCCAAAAACTTTCAAACCTAGAATCAAAATTTAAAAAGTTTCACTATACTGTTCATAAGATTATATGCTACTCTTGCTAAATTTACAGTTTTCCAAACACTGTGCATGACTTCATTTATTTATTTTTCTAAAAGGATGTTTCCTTTACCATCATTATTCTCCATGACTAAAAAAGGCTAATAGTGTGGGCCTGTTTTTTTTTTTCTTTCTTTGGAAAGGAAGGAAAGTATCATGATTTTACAGGTCTACAAGGTGCATTTGAGTCTTTTTCTACTAAATAATATTGCAATTGAATATAGAAAAAAATTAATATCCCTTGCATTTTCTGTAAGTACACACAATGGATATTTCACAATCTGATCATCAATATTATACAATAAATCATTTTGGAGAGTTAGCTGTTTGACAGTAATAGATACCTCATCTTTGTTCTGTTGATTATACTTTTTGCCTCTTCGTAGGAGACACCAATCATTGACTCTTTATTTATGGACACAAGTTGATCTCCAGGCTTCAACCGTCCATCCTAACATAACAAATAAAAAACCCAAACCATAAATTTTATATTAATTGCTAACACTATAGAAAGAAGTATATAATCTCAGCACTTTAACATATTCCTCTGGATCAGTTAAGACAAGAAATACCAAGAATGGTTATACATTTTTGCTGACAATCTTCCAGAAATAAACAGCTGATCAAATGATAATTTAATCACGATAGCAGTCATTATAAAAGCTTCATCAGACAGAACGGATCTCACATATTGTGTGAAGAAGAAATTCAGACACAGATGCATATTTCTGTTAAAGGAATCCAAACAAACCAACCACAGAGAGCAATTTTTCCAGCAAGAAGCCCCAACCCATCTGACTACAGGAAGCTTCTTTACTAATTAATTCAGCTGTGAGCTGGATTACTTTGTATTTCAAAACAAAATGTTCATGGCTATACATGGGACTCTTCAGTCACTTACCAGTCATATTAATCTTAATAAGGAAACTAGATTAGTCTATTAGGAATTCATCAGTCAAAACCATGATAGAAATAATATTGTTATCTTTGTGCTTCTGCTGAATTCATTGCAAACTTTCTACCAACACAGGAACATACCACATTTCTGTCTCAGAGACTGTAAGACAAGACTTTAAACATGCTAGGCTAGATTTCTTACTAAGATAAAGCTTTCTTTACTCACATTTTAAGAGGGCTCAACAATTGAACTGCAAATTCATGTAATCTACCCATGGTTACACAGTTAGTTATGACATCTATCTAATGTAACACACATACAGGTCTGTGTTCTTCAGCTTTTAAGAAATTAACTGCAGAATCAATCTGACCATGTGAAACTGTGTACAGAAAACGATACATAGGAAAGAAGTAAAATACCTTTTCAAGAGCAGTATAATTTTACATATTTAATACCAGCATACCATCATTTTAGCTGTATTATTTCAAACTTATGATAGCACTTTATTACATTTTTTTGCAGTAACACTTAGTGTTTTGGTTTTGATTAAAGAAAAAAGTTGTAGATCTTTTGTTTCGCTTGCATCCCGTCTATTAAAAGATCTCCATTTCAGTGCTGCCCTCGTGTGGCAAGAGATTTAAAATACGCTTGCTACTTGGGCTTCTCAAACAGGACAACCAAGATTGGGAAATTACCCATAATACTGCTAATATTAGAACCTACTGCAAATTCATGTCTCAGTCTATCGATTATGTATGATAGGCTTTAAATTATAGGTTTATACCGAGAAAACTGTTTTAGAAGCCACAACAAAATAGAAGAAAACAAAAGAAGAATTATTGCCGTTTATCCACTAAAAGAAGTCCAGGATAAACATTCAATTTTTTCCTTCCATCTTGACATTTTGGGATTAACCTTAATCTACGAAAATTGAGTCTCAAATAGTTAAAGACTGTTTTGGGGCAAAACTCACTGCTCATGAAATTAACTCATACCCTCCTGCTTGGCAAGAGGCAAAAACTGGTTATCTACACATCAAAACAACCATAATAACTCAGAATGCAAAAATATACACTTGGATAAACAGTTTTGTGTACTTGAACCAGACAGTTCTGTTATTTTTTTTAAACGGACAAACTCTCCTGATTTACATATTGCATTTGTCATAAATGAAAACAGTAATCAGTACTAATTCATAAATTTTATTAGTCTGCACTATCAGAATATTTTTATTCTAATTTGCCTACACAATGCTTTCCAACTGCAAGGATCCCTGTAAATTAAGTCCAAGGGAAAAATTATTTTTTGAATTTACAAGAAAAAAAAACCAAAGATGCAAGCTGTAGCTCTGCCCCATCTGTACTGATTTACTTTGCATCACGCAACCTCTTAAAGAAGTTGATTTCTTACTTTCTCAAATGTAAATTGGGGAACAAGATCTTTATTTATCTCAAACGAACTCATGAATAATTTTCAGTACCATGTACCATGCCATGGTGCAATGAGATAACTCTGTTTAAAGAGAAAGCATGCAGAAACACAAACAAAAATTTGTATTTAAAATATAACCTTATATGTAAAATACTGAAGTATGTACTAAGTGAAGGAAAAAAATACACGTGGACTGAAGGGGGACAGAGGGAAAAAAAGGTCTTTACCTTATGGCAGTCACCACCAGGGATAATTTCTTGAATGTATACCAAAGGCCCTTCATTTCTGTTAATTCCTCCAACGATGTTCAAACCTAGGCTTGTTCCTCTGCAAACAGAGATAATCTGAAATGCACTATCTCTACAAAGAGAAAGGAAAAAAGAAAAGTATAATGACTTCACAGAACTAGATGTTCAATAAAGACTAAAGTGATACAGTATCTTTATCTTACTGATTTCACAAATATGTACTACAGCAACAAACAGAAACAGTGGACATTTAATTGCAATGTTCAAACGTCACGCTGCCTACCTACTACAAAATCAGCAGCTTCAGTTGTTACTTCTGGCAATTACAGAAAGAACTGGTATGTTATTTTACAAGAATAAAAGCTCCTCTGTACTATATATATCCCAGGCCTAGTGCCTAGTTACCCATAAACAAGAAGCATTAATTCCTTAGGAGACATTAAGATCAAAAGTCAATCTCATTGATCTACTTCTACCATGTAAATAATAAATAAATGAGAAAAATACCTTATTAAAACTGTCAGTTTGCAATATCAATGGCATTATAACTTACAGGACTTAAAAAAAAAAGTTGAACACTTAGTGCTCAACCCAAAATTCTCCTGAGCAGCCAAGTACACCAATTTCTACACACAAGAGAATTACAGTCAGTTTCAGAAATTACTTTGCAAGCTTTGGGGATGGTGCTGGGACAGAATTATTTCTGCTGATGGTCATGGTATTATCCTTTGGATGCAACTGAGGACTCTGTGACCTCGAGGATGAGCCAGAAGAAGGGCTGTCTATAGATTTTGCTTAAAGAAAAGAAACAATGAAAAAAAGAAATCAAACACACATTGGGGAAAAAGGACAAAGTTTCAAATCACGTAAGTAGGTTCAGTGGGACTATTATCATGTTAGAAAAAAGACAAACTATAAGCAATCAAATGAACAAAAGAAAGCTTATGTCCACACAGCTAAGAATTGTAAGCCACCCAGGGTTCCAAGAATAATTCCTTAAAACATAACAAGTAATGATTTTGTTGTTTGGTTTTTTTTGCTTTTTCCCAAACTGGGTGCAAAAATAATCTCAACTGAATAATTGTTCATGCTATAGAAAGGCAGTAAGTAGGTAACAATTCCATGAGGACAGAATGTATGGCATTCTAGCTCAGATTTTTATTATTACTTTGAAATCTTATGGTACATTTAATCTACAAATATCAAATACTTTTCACATTACTCATTAATTAAAATTGCTGAAAGTAGGTGTTAATATATTTAAAGAGTTGGGGAAACTGACACACAAACCAGTCAAGTTACATGTTTAGACTACAAATGAAATGTTAAAGTCTAAGTAAACCTGTGTGTTTTGCCTGACTTTCAGTCACTTCCTCCCATACACCCTCCCCCTAAATGAGAAGAGTTTTAAGTGCTAGCTTCTGACGCCACTACGACTATTATCCTAAAGGATTATGTCAGGCTAGAAAGCAATCTCTCACCAGCTAATAGTTGCGTTGGAGAACTTCTTGCAGAGCTGGTGTCACTGTGAGAGCCATACTTATCCATCAGGTCAAGAAATTCTTTCCTGTGGCAATAAAAAGATCATTTCCATCATTATTTGGCAGCAGTTTAAATGCACCCTTTGAAACCTGCTACTGTTTCTACTTGAATGGTCACCCTTCCTCAGAGAAGGAAGCTCAACTTCAACTGAAAGAGGAAAGCTCTGACAAATGTTCTAAGAGGCAAGGAAAAAATCATGTAATAAAGAAGAATAAGGATGGAATAGCACTAGACTATGAATTAAACAGACTGTTGTTAGAAAAGCTTAATTATTACCTCTCTTTACCCTGGATTTCAAGACTTTAAAAACTTGTAATTCAAGTCAACTACAGCTAATAAGACAGTGGTATTACTGAGGTCCAGAACAATTTATTTGTATTAGAAGGAATCAGATAGTATACCCATAGCATACTTGTAGATTTAAGGAATGCTTTTAGTTCAACTATACTGAAGAACCCAGAAGAGACTGGCAAAGATGTGGCACCTCAAAAAAGAGGATAGAATAAATATTTATTAATTATTCAAGAATGAGTAACATAGATGCAAATTCTTAACTTCTATTTAGCTTTCTCAGAAATTTGCAGTCTATTTCAGCTTAGGTAAATATAATTATATATAAAATATTGTATTTGCTTGGGCTTTGCTTATCTTTTTCATCATAATATCTTTTTTAAGAAGTCCCAACAGATGAAATAAAGGACAATTCTTAGGCACACTGTTGAAAAAAATTAATAAAAATTAAAAGCAGAAATTCTTCGCAGAAACCAATCATGTTGTAACAAACTGGCAAAAAACTGGCAATGATGTACATCCTGTATTACACGCATTTAAGAGAAAACAAAACCTCTTGATTAATTTAATACTGAATGCAGCCTATTTAAAAAAAATAATCTAAGCTATGATTACCTCAGTGATAACAGATTAAAAAAATAATCTATAATGATGTAAGCAACATCAGTAAATTAATATTATAGAATTAGAGAGAGAGAACATAAATTAACTGATTGCAGGGAACGCAATTCCCAAGTAATTACAGTGACTGCAGAGGGTTGTTGAAATCTGATGGATGTATTATTTCTTAAAAAATAACAAAATTTATTGAACTAATGCCAGACCCAGGGAACACACATAACACAGATGAGTGTAAATCAAATAATCTTTTAGCACAGGAATGTACAGTCACAAATTAATTCACAGGTGTCTGAGTGAGGGACTATATGTAGTGGCAAACTCTGCACAGGCCATTGGGCATACCACCAGAACGGTAAAAGGACTGATGGATTTTAATTATTAAAGGAGTTTACAGGAACTAGGTCAGTATGCTTTAGATAAAAGCAGATTAAGAGTGGACCTCACATATATCTAGGCAGCCTGAAAAAAGGAGAGATCAGAGGCTACAGAGTGATTTAAATGTCTGTCAAATACAAATAATAAAGGAGCAGAAAAAGGAAGCTTCAATCAGACAAAAGGCTAAAGGAATTTATAGAAGATTCCTTTATGGAGAGATTACTCTGTAAGTGGAACATCCCAGGAAAGGCAAATAACAGCAGATACTCTCGCAATGATTATCAAATATAGTTACATAACAGCCATCTCCTCTAGAGATTTAAGTCAAAAGGGGATACAGACCTGGATCATAGCATTTCTGATGATTCTCTGCCAATAATGGTTTATATGCTTAACTTTAGACAGCAAGGTTAAAGCAATGTTTGACATAAATATCCTTATAATGGATATATTTTGGACTATCTGCTGCAGTGAACAGTTTAACCTACTTAACCAAACTAATTCGAAGCTCATTAAAGATTGAAAAGCAAACTTCTGAAGGAGAACAACTTCATCTGCTTTTTTTCTAGAAGGCAAGACCATCTTAAATCATACAGTTCTGTGGTACCATTGACCTGAAGTATTCCTCAACTTTATTATTTTACATAGAAGTATTAAAAAAATTATCACAGCAAATAGTTTTCAGTGGTATTAGCTGATAACATAACATTTCAATCCCCTTCATTAAACTGAAATTGGCCTGAGCTTGCTACTTTAATTGAGGTAAATAGTCTCAGAATTAATTGGTATCAAATACCACACAGAAAAATGTGACATGTGGTGCAATTTTGTGATTAAAACTAATCTGAAAGAAAAATACATGCAAGCCTGCCTATTCAACTTTACACATAGTGTTGGCTTTTTGTTAGTTTTGAGGTTAAAATAATGTTTCATTTTTCTCTTACTTTGCTTCTTCATCTCTGGCAACTAGCAGAGACACGTGATTGGATGCTGATGCTGTTCGCAAGATGTCAACAGCCCTAGAAGGGAGGAAAACAGCCAAATAAATATACCAGGGTTCTGTCAAGAAGTACACGGTGAGTAATGCTAAAAGAGCAGGAAAGTGAACAAATTCTTAACATAGTTAACAATTTTGACAGCCAAATACAGAGAAAAAAGTTTGCCAGCAGCACAACCCAAATCAAGCATTGGAGAACTGAGCAAAAGACAGACTGTGGTGAACCTGTGCCTGGTGACACGAATAAACTGGGATTGCCCTGTCTTTCCTTTCTCTCTTGTCCCCATCTCTCCTTGTTCCATCCTACTACCTACCTGGACCTCCTTCAGGATTAACAGCATAACCCAGAGAAAAAAACTACTGCTCAGATACGCTTCATTGCTCAGGATGTCCCTCAGCACTCTAATTTTTCTTTGAATTTTAAATCTATGTCTCCAACACTAAGCTGCATTGATGTCTGGTGATCCAACTATACAAACCATCCAGCATACTGTACACATTTTTCTAAACAATTTCTCCTTCATTCTCCCATTACAATGATACTTGTTAGCTGCATCATTTACATCCACCGGTATTGAACCACAACAGGTAGTTATAAAAATATCTAAACAGCTTCATAAGTTTTAATGCTATTTTCACATACATTCTATAATCTATATAATTGAGAAACTGGCTTATTCTGTCATTGTAAAAGCATATAAAGTCCTGTCACTTTTCCACAATAGTTTTGCTGAATTAGCTTTATAGCATAAATTAATTGCCAGTTGAACTCCAAGGACGTCAGTACAGTTGAGCTCTTTTAAGCAGTAGTTGATAATGTCCAAAAAACCCCCATGTAATATTCCCAGGTCTAATAAACATTTAGTAAGCAGTACAAACATACCTTTCATTGGTTACTCCAATTAAGTTTTCTCCATTAACATCCAAAATTAGGTCGCCAGTGAGCAAACGGCCTGGTAACAAAACCAACAGCAATGGATGAAGCAACAGAAAAATGGTGAACGTGTTATATCATGGTAATAAAACAGGGCTTTTTCTTTCAATTTTATGTCTTCTAATGCAATAAACAACCTTATGACTTTTAGCAGATTTGGTTCTGATCCTAATTAAGCTACTATTGTAATAAGACATTAATTATCAATGTCTTATTAACCACAGAATAGCCACTGAAAATAAGTGGCTATTTGTATTATTTACACATAGCACAAATATTTGTGGGACTGGAATTTACATTTCACAGTTGATGAATTAATTATCAGCTATATTTCACTCTTAACATACATGTAAGCTATGACTTATAAATACATTAGTGTTTTATACATTAATAAAGACATTTAAAAGATTTTTTTAGAACCAATTCTATTTTTAACCTTCTGCAAATATCAAGTTTAGGAACTATTACTTTTGAAGTAGATTTAGATTATTTTAAATGACTATTCTGCACAATGGGAAATCTCAAAAAACCCCATACAGACCTAGGACAGAAGGGTACTCTGTAACTCTGTTAATGCAAACTCTACTTAGTATAATTCGTTCTCTTCACACTGAACTTCTAAACCACCACTCAAAAAAAAACCCCAAAACAATCAGAACTCATTAAAAATACTGGTCCTGTAAAGGAAATGCTACTCTTATCGCTTACGAATTAAGAGGTTCAGCATCTCAACACTTAACTAGCAGTGCTGAAAGATTGCAAATAGCTTTCACACCAGTTATATCAAGATTTGAACACACTATCAAGAACTGAGAGTATTAAAATATTTTCCCATGAAGGGACCAAACTTCATTTCTCTATGTTAAGGTAAGCCACAACATCATGAATCCTGACTAAACCATGCTATTTTAAATACCCTTATCCACAAAGTAAAACAAAAATTACTTCTTTTGGCAGCTTTTTATATGCAGTGTGTTTGTAAGAAAAAAACTAAAATTACTTACTATCTACAGCAGCAACCCCTCCAGGTAGAATTCTCTTTATGAAAATCCCATAATCTTCTGCTGTTTGTGCCCGATAACCTCCAATAATTTTAACTCCTGCAGAACAAACAAAACAAGCAAGAAATTGGTTATTCCACCTACTGTGCTAAATGGATTTATAGTCAAATCCATAAAAGCCAGATAAATTAAATTTGTACTGATGACAGTGTGAACTGGAAAAGCTCACCAGGTGCTTTTAGATTTGCTTTACTTTGAATCAACAGAACATGCCATCTAATTACCTAATCCATTTTGACAATCAGAAAAAGAAATGCGGTGAACAGCTCGATTGATTCCATGAGGGCCCATAATAGTCCTAAGGAATAAAATAAAAGTAATTAAATCTCTAATTACAGAAATGTATGTGGAGCTATGTTAATACAGAAGAAATTACAGTGACCATGTTCTTAACTCTAATTCAAACCAAAACCAGTTTTCTATAAATGACAACTTTATATTGTTTAAGAACTCTGTGCAACCCACTCCCAACAAAGAAAAAAAATCAATCTCCTCATAACAAATATAAGATGATAAGGTAAAATAAAGTACATATAGAATTAAATAGAAACAAAATCCCATAACCTGGTCCAGCTTAGCATTTAAGCAAGAAAAACACATCATAATGTCTTAGATCAGGTAATGAAAGTTAAAACAAAATGACAGCTAAGATAGTGTATACAAAAATAGTTTCTAGGATATCTAACATGTAACTTCTTGGTTATTCATTAACATGATCTTTTCC